ATCCACTCACCTCAGCCTCCCAAAGGTGCGGGATTATAGGCTGAGCCACCGAACCCGGCTTGTTTTGTGTTTTTTAAATCATTGTTTAGTTGCTTCTAATTTTTCACAATTATGAATAAAATTTTATATTTTTTACAGTTTATTCTCTGATATTTTCTTAGAGTAGGTTTTTAAAAATGGGATTCTCACATAGTTTTGCTAAATGACTGTCTAAAAAAAGTCGTAACAGTTTGCACTATGACTAGCAATGTTTAAGTGTAATAATTTCTTTTTTACAGTTCGGATTCTGAAATAATAGGTTATGCTTTGGACACACTATATAATATAATATCTAATGATGAAGAAGAAGAAGTAGGTAAGTTTCCAGTTATTTGTGTTAATGGGGTTGTGCTGATTTTTGCTGTTTTTAAAGTTGGCTTATTTTACACATTTATTTATAAGTTTTTTTAATTTGCTTTCTCATTTAAAAAGTCAATAAAGACATAGGCTTAGTTCTAGAAAACTGTCTTTAGAATGATTGCTTTGTGTGTGATCATAATGAGATGGAATACGATCTTTTTTTTAAAGTAATGTGTCTGCTCTCTTGTATTTGGTTTTATTTAGGCAGTATACATGTTGCCAGTTCGTGGTTAAATAATTATTTTTGGCTTTTGATTGAAAATCACACTGTTTTATTTATGTTATCTAAGCAGTATGAAGTTAGAGAACTTTTTCCTACTAAATACTTAAATATTTGGTGGCTCAGTCTGTAATCCTGTGCCTTTGGGAGGCTGAGGTGAGTGGATTGCCTGAGCCCGCGGGTTCGAGACCCGCCTGGGCAGCGAGACCTCATCTCTACAATAAAGCAAAAAATCAACCCGTCGTGGTAGCGCGTGCCTGTAATTCCGGCTACTTGGAAGGCTGAGGCGGAAGGATTGCCGGAGCCCAGCAGGTTGAGACTGCGGTGGCCGGGAGTGGCCACTGCACTCCAGTCTGGGCGACAGAGTAAGACTCCAACTCAAAAAAAAAAAAAAAAAGACTTACGTTAATTTGTAAAGAGCAGCAATTTGTTAAATTTAGAAAGTTCTTTTCCTTACATTAAGTCTGTTTAGTGTGCAGTGATATGGATCATTTTTAAATCTACATATTTCTATAGTACATTCTCCTTTTCTTTTTTGTGTCAAAATACTTGAATACTTAACATAAAGTCTATAATTTTCTTAATTTACTTTATTGTCATGTGAAATACTTAATGGAAGTCTGTATACATTTTTTCTGTATATTGCAAAGCATGCAGTTACATTTCATAATACTGTTGAAGAGTGCATTCTTTTATATTAAATTGGCTATTGCAGTAGGATATAGTGAGTTTTCCATTATTCTACAAAGTCAGAAGGGTAAATAGACTCATTTTTTATGAATATAAAGTTACACTGCAGGTTAATGATCTTTCAAAATTCTGAGTAGACAAATCAGAAATTGTAGATGTATGACCTTGCACATATTTTATTAAAATAAAAGTAGGACAAGAATGTATGTCAGTATTTGCAGAATACTAGTAATGGGAACATTTGAAACTAGGTTGTGTTGAATAGTCACAATTCCTTAGACTTAAATATCTTCTTAAAAATTTTTTCATTTCTCTATGCTATCTAGCCTACAACTTAGCTTTATTTCTCAGGGGTGAAAAATATTTAGAAACATGTTTTGGTACCCATGAAAAATGTTGCCAATCACATGACAATGCTTAGATAAAATATGCACACAAGTGGACTGCTATTCTAGTGTATTTTTTTTCCTAGTTATTCTAAGAAAATTAGATGCAACACACTTGTTTGAACACATTAAAGAAAAAGACTTTCTTAGCCGCCCCCTTCCCCCCGTGTTTCAGATCAGAAATTAAACTTTTTTTCTAGTTAGGTTGCAGGGGATGATTTTCTCTTAAAAAATGTATAGTAGGCAACCTCTTTGGGTCTCCCCCCACCCCCACTGTGGGAACTTTTCTGTCTTCTCAATAAATCCTGCTTTCTTAAAAAAAAAATGTATAGCAACATTATATTTAATTAGATAATTTCCTTTGTTATAAACTTAAAATATAATCATGGCTGAAGCCAGCTTTTTTTGTTTTTCTTTATGTATGTATGTAGGCTCTTTATTTTTAATTTAGCATCCAAGAATGATCCTTTAAATAAAACAAAATAAACAATTATCTGGTTAAACAGTAATAGAATCACCTTCTTTAAAGGACTTTTTCTTCTGAAAACATACTCATCCTGAAAGAGTTCATTTTTTTAAAAATCTAGATATTGAGAAATGTGTCTTTCATTTCTGTTATTGATACTTTTTCCTTACTGCTTCGTCAGAGGTAGTTCTTAGCTGACATAATGAACTCCATTTTTTACTTTACGAATATGCTATAACTCCTTACTTTAATGATGTATTTGCCTCAGAGTACTACAAATAGAGTATATGCTATATTTCTTTTTAATATATCTCAGATATTTGACTAAAATGTATTTGTTTCTTTTTCTTAGAGATTGTATTGTTTATTACATGTTTTTAAGCTCCTATTTTGTTGTGTCTACTACTGCAAAAAAAAAAACTATTTTATCACCCACATTTCATTTACTTTTGTCTACCTTTTCAGATGATGTTGAAGGTAAAAGATTGCATTTACATGTGCATGATGCTTTTAGGCTGATAATATAAAAGGACACTGTCAAGTAATGTTTCTTCTGACTAGTAAAAAAAATTTCTTTTTTTCACTATATAAGAAATTTGTTTTACTATATAAGAACTCCTTAATTGAAATTTGTTTTACTATATAAATTTGTATAGTAATTTGTTTTACTATATAAGAAATTTGTTTTACTATATAAGAACTCCTTAATTGAAATTTGAAAATTGAAATTTGTTTTACTATATAAATTTGTATAGTAATTTGTTTTACTATATAAGAAATTTGTTTTACTATATAAGAACTCCTTAATTCAAAAGGAATGTTGGATAAACTTATATTATTATTATTTCCACAGCTACTAATTCTGTTTCTGTCCGAAATACATAACATACTCTAGTGCTTCTTTTAATAACATTAAAGCTATTTTTCTAGTAGGACAGTTTATTCAAAATTACTCTGCATACTTCTTTTCTAAAAAAAAAAGAAGTAAGAAGTTTTTACTTCCTAGAGAAAAGTTTTTAGACAGTTTATTTAAAAATAATATCGGGTATGGTGGCACACACCTGTAGTCCCAGGGACTTAGAAGGCTGAGGTAGGAGGATCTCTTGAGCCAAGGAGTTCAAGCCTGCAGTACACTATGATGGTGCCTGTGAAAAGCCACTGCACTCCAGGGTGGACAACATAGACCTTGTCTCTAAAAAATACATAAAAATAATATATAGTATTCCAGTTCAGATAATATTTATATATTGATATTGTCCCTTTAAATTAATGCATGGAAAGCATCGTTTTAGTTACTCACATTTTTTTACATTAATTCAGATAACTCACTAATATTTTCTTCTCTCTTATGATCTGTTTTAAATGCCATTTACTTTTAACATTGATATTCCTTTTTCTCATCATTAAAGTAACCAAGTTTGTTTTGTCTTGTTTTACCAATTTTCCTGAGATGCTTAATTTTTTTAAATGAGGAAGGGAATATTCTTATCTAAACAAGTTCTTAAATAGTACATAACGAAGTTGCCTATACATAACAAAAAACTAACAAAGAAACTAACTTATTAAGATACTCATATATTAAAGCTTTACCTTTTGTGACATTTGAACCTTTTGTCTGAAATCAGAAAATACTAGAACCTTGTTCCTTGACTTTATCAAGCTGTTATTTTATTGGGTGGTAAAGGTCAGTAGTTGTGGTTTCTATTATTATCATATTTTTCTAGAGTTTTAAAATTTAAAGAGTTCTTTCATGTTTTTTATCTTACTTAATGCTCATAACAGCCTGTGAGATCGGTGGTATTTTTCTCATTTCTAAAGATGAGAAATTGTAAGCCCAGAGATTATATAACTTATATGGTATCATCCAGTAGGTAGAACAGTAATTTTTAATAAACTTTTTTCTTTCTTTTTTCTAGTGCTTCATAGATTTATGATTGAATAAATTGTGACCAATTTTGCTTTATTTTTCTGACTAAAATCTTTATTAAATCGTGTATTTCACATAACTAGTTTATAGAAAATTTAGGTAAATATTAAAAAGTATAAATGTATCTGTTTAATTGACCATCAATATAAAAGAAGATTATGTGATATTTCTTCATTCTGGTTTAGGACTATTTTTATTAGACTAGCTTCTTTCTTTAAGCGTTTTTATTCTTGAGGTGGTGAACTTGACTTGGAGTGAATTACAAAGAGGAGGTATAGAAATTTTTAAAATATTGTTTACACCACTGGAAAAATTATAACTTTAAATACATTTTATGAATAAATGTGTCTATACATGTTTTTTCAAAAGCCAGTCATATAAATAGGACTGAAAAGTGTCCAGAGGTATAGAGACAGTCCCTGACTTAAGATAGTTTGACTTACAATTTTTTTTTTTTGGAGTCTTACTCAGTCACCCAGGCTGGAGTGCAGTAGCACACTCACAGCCACCCCAGTGTTGATCTGCTGGGCTCAGGAGATCCTTCCACCTCAGCCTTTCAAGTAACCACATACATGCACCACCACACCCTGCTAATTTTTTTGATTTATTGTAGAGATGAGGTCTCGCCAAGTTGCTCAAGCTGTTCTCGAACCCCTGGGCTCAGGCAATCCTTTTGCTTCCACCCCCAAAGTGTTGGGATTACAGATGTGAGCCACTGCACCCAGCCCTGTTTTTCACTTTCAGTACAGTATTCAAAAATTTCATGAGATTGTCGATACTTTATTATAAAATAGGCTTTGTGTTAATTGATTATGCCCAACTGTAGGCTAATATAAGTATCCTGAACACAGTTAAGATAGGTTTGGCTAAGCTATAATGTTCAGTAGTTTAGAAGTATTAAATGCATTTTCAGTGTAATGATATTTTCAGTTTATGATGGGTTTATTAGGACATAACCATGTTGTAAGTTGAGGAGCATCTTTATAAGGACTTTAAAAAGTCAGTTTTTCATTTTACATACCTGTCTTAGGTTTATTTTTACTATGGTAACAAGGGGCCATTTATTTTTTCTCCCATTTCATTTATCTTACAGCAAATGGTCATTTACTTTACACCTTGTAAGTACAGAACACAGTATATAAACTATAGGATGTGAAAAATAAACTTAGCTCTAGGGGTTATAATCTAAGTATACTAGATGAACCAAGATGGTTTACTTATCTCATACTTTTGTTTATGTGTATGATAGACATAATTTCTCATGTTTGTAGTTTTAGTTTACCTTTTAGATATAATTAAGATAGTAGTTTATAGTAGTTAAAGCTCTAATTTATTGCTACAATAAAAGCTTTCTGTATCACCTTAATTGCCTAGCTAATTTTGGGGGACTCAAAATTTAATTTGATGGGCTAATGAGCCTATATTTTTTTATTATACCCAGAACTCTCAGAAGTGCTATCTTGTGACTATAACTTAAAAGAAATGGAGAAGTGGAGTTAGTAAAATTACCAGTGTGAAACCAGAAGTAACCATTGATCATTGGAACAGGACCATATTTTACCAATTCAGTTCAAAACCAAATCAGATCTTAATTATACTGATAAAACTACAATATTTCATACAGTGTATAGCTACAGAATAAATCAAAACTATTAACTCTACTTCTTGCTGAGTTATTCACTTGAGCTCAATGCATCAGCGAATTAAACTTTTCATGGTATTAGATCTGCATTCCTTAAAGTGTAGCACAGAAGTTCCAGAGAGTGCTCTGTGTTAAAAGAGTCTGTAGTTAACAAACTTACTGTGTTCCTCTCTGAAGCTTCACAGAATTTACATTAGTATAGTAATTACTGAGAAGCCTGTAATGAGGCCTGGTCACCTTTGTTTAATCCAAATGTATTTGTCCATAGGTGCTTGCTTTCATCAGATATCTGTTAACATGCCACACTATCCTGCATTTTCAAATATACTAAGGCTTAAACCCATTGGTTTGTTATGTTTAGATGCATAAAAATATTTCAGCATTTTACACAGTGCTTCATAGAAAGAGTCCATCAAATCTTTTTTTTCCCCCTTTTCTTTTTAGATTAGCTTGCAATTTTTACTATTGTTCCAAAATGTCAATAACTGAGCTTTTGAACTTTTCTCTAGATGTCCTAAACTTTTGGCATAAAGGCATTGTCTATCTTGTAAGCAAGATTGCTTAACCCACTTAGATTACACTGCCAGTATTATAAATAGGGCGCTTTACAACAATTTTTGTATTTCAGACTTGCATTTTTTAAAAACTCTGAAGATTAGCCTGGTGCAGTGGCTCACTCCTATCATCCCAACACTTTGGGGGGCAGAGGCAAGAGTATTGCCTGAGCCCAGGGGTTCAAGACCAGCCTGGGCAACTTGACAAGTCTCTGTCTCTACTATAAATAAAATAAAATTAGGTGGGCATGGTGATATGCACCTGTGGTTCCAGCTACTTAAAAGGCTGAGGCAGAAGGATCGCTGGAACCCAGCAGGTGGATGTGACCGTGAGCACGCCACTGCACTCCAGCCTAGACAACAGTGTGAGGCTCCAACTCAAATAAATAAATAGGTAAATAAATAACAAAAACTCTGAAGATTGATAATACCTGGGCCTGTGTTTCTGTGTGGCTGTGAGCTGCTTTCCTTGGACAGGGCATGTCTCCCCATCCTCCTTTCATCAGCCTGCTTTCACACACTGTCTTGTCTCTACAGTTGAGTTTACTTTCTCTACTATACTCACACCGCTGAGATAAGAACAGTTATACTGCAAATTATCTTTCAAAACACAGTTGATTTATTATTTATTCATTTATTAATTACATACACTAATGTTATCTCATTCAACAAATATGACTATATGCAAATAGAAATAGGTCTGGAAAGCATCCATGATTAGATTAACATACACATATCCTCTTAATTTCTAGACGGAAGCAAATTCAAGAGAGAGAATGCGTTACATGTCTTTTGAACATAAATTTCTCGGGTATTTGGAGAGTAATTTACTTGACACATGTTCCCCATGGGCCCTTCTTGTGCAATTTTTAAAATTTGTTTTTGTATCTGTACAATTTTACTAGAATTTGGCTAGGTATTTGTTTCTGTACTATCTCTCACATAACCATGGTTTGTTAGAGTTCTGGGTGCAATAAAAAATAAATGCTTATTAGCCCATCAAATCTTGTGAGATTGTATTGGATACATGGCATTTACCACAGTGGGACTCAGAGCTCCTCTTCATAGCTGATTCTAAAGAGGGACATTTTCAAAAGATTTACTCAGCTCCCAAATTCCCTTATCTTCTTAGTTTTCTTCACAGTCTCCCTTTTCCATCATCACATCAACTTGCAAATAAAATGAGATGGGTGTGCATTTCTTGCTACTTACTTGGTACCAGTTTTTTTTCTAAGACCACTTGTAAATTCACCTTTGAGCTTTGGAAATCACAAGTTATCAAAGCAAGATTTTACTTTCAGGTGTAAAAATAATAGAATACAGAATTTTATCAACTCCCAAAGGAAAAACAGAA